ATATCTTTCCAGACTTTTGTCTAACATGTCACCATGCACATAAACAGTTTTAGCAGCAAAGATGCATAGTGACAAAGGAGGACCTTGCTAGGTAGTGATACTATTTCATGGTGGATGAAATTCACACCAGGAGTAAGCAAACTTGTGTTCTAACAGTGATCTATACTCTCTAGCCTCTCAGAGAGACTTAAATGTTGTCAAAAATTCAGTAGTTAAGGTAATAGTGATTTCACACTACAGCATGGAATCTTCCCTTCCAAGTATACCTCAGGTGAATGTGGAGACACATCCATTAGTGTTAATACCTTGAAGGTTGAAGCAGAGGCTGGTTTGAGGACAATATATACTAAACATCGAAGCTAAAAATGCACCATTTCTAGTTGTCATGAACAATTCCTATAAGGAAGACTCACCTGCCTTGCAACATGGGTTATAAATCTATTCACTGCTCTTTGTGCAGTGTTTCCAGCTAAGTGACTAGATACACTACTACATGTTCATGCAGGTAGTCTACTGCTCCTATGTCTTCAATCCTCTAAGGGAAAGTATGCCTCATTTGTCCCTTAGCTGTATCACCATGCAGCACTATTTTGATAGAATCAGATAAGTTTCTCCTGGGTATGCTAGATATATATGAATTGTTATTTAAGTATGTCCTCTAGAATTCAAGTTTTGGGAAATTAATCCTGGAATTTCTGTGTTGATGGTACTTGGTATTTGGTGTGGAGAATTAGGATCAGATGATCTCATAAGCATGTAGCTAGCTAGGATGACTCAATGGTTTTATAAGATGATAAAGAGAGATCTAATATGGCACTTTGGGGCCAGCTTTCCACAAGCCATCCATTCCATATCCATTGAAGCAGGACAGGATGACAGATGACATATATAGTTATGAGAAAGGGGAGGAACATGCCCATTATATAATTAAATCTTATAATTAGCAAACAAGAAAAATTTCAACATAATTAGCAATCTCTAAAACCTTTATCTTTTCCCAGGTATAAACTTGCAATTTTTCAGGAATCTCTAATTACAGTGAGAAAACAAAACATGTATTCAAACACTTTGTGCAGCCCTAATGGTCCCCAGATTTGCCTTATCACAATGTAATCCCATGCAAAGCATCTTAAGAGTCATTTTTCTATCTTACTTATCAAATGAGACAGAAAAGGAAACAAACAAAATAAACCACAATGTTCTGAGTGGTAACTTGAGAGCCATTACCATGGTATAAATGGCTAGTTCTAAAACGATTAATGACTCTCCTTGTTTGAAGAATCCTTATCAATGTATGCTTGAGTCTCATTTTTAACACTTTATACTTTTGAAGTGCCCATCTTTCTCCTAAACCCTGTAGTTAAAACCAATATTCAAATTATCTTTAATAAATTCTCAACTTGATATTCCTAGAAACAGCTGGCCTGAGCTAGTGGGAGCTCAGATTCTTGTCTGACAGGAGGGGAACCTAAATAGCACCAAGCAGGCTATCTGAATATGGGTTACAGTAGTGTGGCTTGGGCAGTCTGTGGGGTCACTGACAGTGGGACCAGGATTTATCCCTAGTGCTTGAACTGGCTTTTTGGAGTTCATTCTCTTGGAGGAATATCTTGTGCAGCCTAAATATAGGGAGTGGGCCTTGATATACTTCAAAGTAAGGACCCAGACTTTGTGGATTCCCCATGGAAAGCCTTGCCCTCTCTGAGGAGTGGATGGGGATGTGGGTTTAGGGGAAGTAGGAGGTAGCAGGAGGAGGGGAGGGTGTGGGACCTGGGATTGGTATGAAAAATGAGAAAAGATTGTTTTTAAAATTTAAAAAAAATGATTAAAAATACAAATCCCCATTTGGTAGTGATAGGGCATGCCTTTAATTCCAGTACTTGGAAAGGCAGAGGCAGGCAGATTTATGTGAGTTCTAGAACAGCCTAGTCTACAAGAACTAGTTTCAGGACAAGCTCCAAAGTTACACAGAGAAATCTTGTCTCGAAAAACCATAAACAAATAAATACATAAATCCCCAACTCTACTTTGTACTGGCCAATGCTGAAATTCTTTTCTCCTCTGAAACCATGTAGATTAAAGTATCTACAAAATTAAAGGAGGTCAACAGAATGCTAAAATAGTTACGCAAAGCTGTGTTTCTACCCCAAACGTGTGGATGCAGAAATAAGACTTTCACCAAATACTGATACTTAGACATTTAACTTCCCAAACTCTCCTATTGTGAACTAAACTGATTTGTGATCTGTTTTTACAGGTTCTTGTTTTGTGATTCTGCCTTGCCTGAACCTTGCTTTGTAGGTCAGAAGATACAATATCAGTTAGCTGTGACAATATGTGCACAAACCATCTTAACATTAAAGAGGCTGATAAAAGAGATTATTAAGTTCAAGGTTAGCCTGGAGAATTAGTACATATATATCTCAAGAAGAAAGTGGGCTTGCTGTGTAGCATATTGATGTGAAACTTACCTAATATACATGAGGGCCTAGCTTCCATACTGAATACCAGCAATATAGAAGAAAAAATATAATCAGGCATATTAGCATACATATATAATGTCAGCAGTCAGAAGACTGAAGTAGGGGATCATGAATTCAAGGCTGGTTTGGGCTTCAAAGATTCAAAGATAGTGCCTCAAATGTAAAAGAAAGAAAGAAAGAAAGAAAGAAAGAAGGAAGGAAAGAAAGGAAGATAGAAAGAAAGAAAGAAGGAAGGAAAGAAAGAAAGGAAGGAAGAAAGGAAAGGAAGGAAGGAAGGAAGGAAGGAAGGAAGGAAGGAAGGAAGGAAGGAAGGAAGGAAGGAAAGGCCTTAACAGGATATTATGAGACAAAGAACCTGCAAAGCTGCCATTGAGTTCATTTTTTCTTGGTTATCTACTGCTGTGCATGTGGCCTTCCCTTAAGAGTAGTTGTTATCCCAGGGAGACCTTCTTGAAGAAAACTAGATTGTCCTTTGCAAGTGGTTATCAGTAGGAAATAATTTCTGTCTTAATGATGTGAGTCATGTGCCACCTGTCCATTCATCTCTAGGACCCCACCTGGTGCAGATCCACGCAAGCCCTGTGCATACCCAATCTCTGTGAATTCATATGCGTGTTTGTCCTTTTGTGTTTAGAAGGGAAGACCTTGTTTCCTTGGTGCCTTCCATCCACTGGTGCTCTTACACTCTTTCTATCTCCACTTCTATGAGGTTCTCTGAGTCCTGAAGTGATAGATTTGATGAAGGCATTCAATTTAGGGATGAGTGATCTAAGCTTTCTCACTCTCTGCATATTGCCTGTCTGTGGTCTCTGTGTCTTTTCCCATCTGTTGCAGGAAAAACATTCTCTGATGATGGTTGGGAACAGGACTGATCTATGAGTATAGGAGAGCATCATTTAGTCATTTTATTGCTATTTTACTTTAGTAGAATAGTAGGTTTTCATTTTACCCTAGGCCCCTGTGATATATAATCTCACATTCTTTTTCTCCCAAGCAGTGCCAGGTATAGGTTCCATCTCATGGGGTGGGCCTTAAACCAAATCAGATTGTCTTAGCTAGTGTTCTATTGCTGTGAAGAGACACCATATCAAAGACAATACTTATAAAAGAAAGCATTTAATTGTGGACTTGCTTACACTTTCAGATGCTTAGTCCATTATCATCATTGCAGGGATGTGCCAGAATGCATTCAGGCGCATGTGGTGCTGGAGAAGTAGCTAAGAGCTACATCCTAATTCACAGAAAGTAGCAGTGAGAGAGAGATTCTGGGCTTGTCATGGGCTTTTGAAACCTTAAACATCTCCCCAGGGAAACACTTCCTTCAACAAGGCCACACTTCCTAATTCTCTTAAATAATGCCATTCTCTGATGCCTAAGAATTCAATTCTATGAGCCTGTGGGGGCCATTCTAATTCAAATTACCACACAGATAATGGATGGTTAATCCCACTGGATTTGTGAGACCAAATGTATACACATATCTTGCAGGCAAGACACCACTGTAGAACAAATGAATTGGTGTTTGCATTGCTACTTTAATAGTGTGCAGATTACCTTCCCCATAACAATAACTCAATCCTAGATTGGCACCATCTCTAAGTCTCCACCTTCAATGATTGTGTAGATGTTGTTTTTTAGCTATAGGGCCTAGCTGCCAATTTATGGCAAGTCCTTTGTAGACTTGGAAAAAGCCTAGGTTTTTTGGGCATTCCTATGGAACAACTTTAGCCAACAACTCAATTAGATATAACCTACTCCTGGTACTGGAAGCTTCATTTTGTGACAAGAGATTGCCAGTTTTGTGTCCCTCTTATTTGGTGATTTCATTGTCACCTCCATATAATATAGATAATTTAGGAAGCTTTGACTGTGGAGGTAGAGGGAAGACGGTGACAAAGGTGAGAATATGAGCAGAGACAGCTATAATTAAGGGCCATTTAAGTGGAAAACTAATAAAGTCAAAGCTACCTATCTTATTTCTGCATATATTTATTAATTGTCAACAACCTAGATATTTGTCAATGGATGAATGGATAAAGAAAATGTGGAACATTTATATAATGGGATATTATGAACCTGTTAAAAATGAAATTATGAAATTTTCATGTAAATGAATGTAACTAGAAATTAATCAACATGAGGTAACTCAGATACAGACAGACAAACATTTTATGAATTAGCTTATTTACTAATGTGGATATTAGCTGTTAAGTCTTCATTATGAAGGTTACAATCCATAGAACCAAACAGTTTAGCTACAGAGTAGTGGATCAGGTATGAGGATAAATTTCCCTAGGAAAGGGAATTGGAGTGCGCAGATATGGATGAATGAGAGGGCAAGGGGAAATAGTCCTGATTCTCTTTTTAGCCTTGGATTCAAGAGCAATGTGAGAGGTTTGGTACTCTGACACTCATTTCAATATGAATTAAGTTTATTATTTACTTTTGGTGCTAGGAAATAAAACACAGATTTTATATGGGAATTCAAATAAGATTTTATTTAATGAAAGCCCATAATCCATATAATGAATTAAGGAAACAAAAAAGAAGACAAAAAGATAAGAGAGGGCCAATTTGACCATTTTTTTGTTGCTGGCCACCTTTGGCATCATTTTGAGTTCTTTGAAAATTTATGTAGACACAATGACAAATGCTTGCTAGCTTTGCTTGATTTTCAACGCAGTATAAGGTAGCAATTTACTTTTAATTTTTGGAACGGGGTGTCTTGCCTATGGCTAAATTTGAAGAAAGACAAATTATGCCACTTATTAGAAAGAAAACTGCAGCTGTAATTGCCAGAACCATGGCACTACCAATCTTCTGAGTGTCGGGGTGAGAAGGCATGTGGAAAGATGGTGGAAAGGCAATCCCCCATTTGCGCATGATGGATATGTAATTGAACAAAACAGCAAGATAAAGAAAACTGCTAGCAATGATGTTCAGAATCCCTGAAAGGCTGAATGGATTGCAGATGGCATTCCTCCATTCTCTTCCCATACAGACTTTCCAAAGAGCAATAATGGTGGTGATTTTCCCAAAGAGGCCTAAAAAGCTAGACATCAGCAGCAGGTGCTGATTTATTCGAATATATAAAGGAAGGAAGTTGTCACGGTAGTTATATTGGTGACATATTCTGATTTCCTTGGTGTTGTTGCCACTGTGGACAACACAGGCTCTCCATATGCCCACAAAGGCCACTGTAGGCTTGAAAATCTTCGGATCTTCATAGTACCACACTCTCCACTGAGGAAGCCCCATGGAGATGCAGCAAAGCAGCCAGGCCACTGTGGTCAAAGCAAAGCCTCCCATTTGGTGACGGTAATGTTTTTTCAACATGATGGTGACAGTGAACTGTAAAAATATACAGCAGAATATGAAGATAGTTACTCAGGAAAAGGACAGTATACTAGGTTTACAGTAATATGAGAAAAGTGTTTGAGAGTGTGGGGCTTAGCCTGGAGATCTGATGACTTGGATGTGGTGTGAGAAAAGGCCAAGAAGGCCCCTGTGGTAAGGTATCCATGCAGGTAGACAGCCATACACCCTCTATAATGTGTAATCCTACATTTTTCATGAACTTCTGGAAATCCTGCTGCCTTTCCTTCTGAAGGGCTACTTAAAGGCATGAGACCCTACATCTGATCAGTAGAATGATACTTTTGAGGACCACCCATGGTAACCTAGTGTGAGAAGTTTGTCCTAGTGATATGTCAAACCTTGCCTAATCATTCATTCTTCTTGGACATTTGGTTTAGGTCAAAGCTTTCCTTGTTAAGAACATCAACATATGAATGAGCATGATATATGAGACTTTGTCTTCATACATTGTGTTGCTATTTCTCTTGAGTAGATAAGGCATTCAACTTGGAGGAGACGAAGTGTCAAATTCATAGAGTTTGCATTGTGAAATTTACAGAACTATTTCACACAGTTTTCATGACTTTTACATACCCAGCAGCAAAACTTGAAATTTTCAGATTCTTTGTAACTTCCTTCTCATTGGTCATGTACAGTACACCAACACATCAATACTAAAAGATAGTAAATGAATGAAAACTCATGAGGTAATAGAAAAGTAACTTGCTTTGGTATATGCAATATGATGTATATTATAAATTATCTTAAAGCAACGTACTTCACTGTAATACTTGAAATACATCAAATTCTAAGAAAATGAGTGAACATGGATCAAGCTCACGCTTAGGCAATTGTGCAATACAAAGAAACTATAAGTACATTAATAGTTTTATGACTAGTTTTGATTGTCTACTTGAAAAAAAATATAAGGATGATCAGAGAAGAGAGTCTCAGTGAGGAATTATCTAGATTCAGTTGGTCTGTAGGCCTGCCTGTGAGGGATTGTCTTAATAATGTTAAGTGAAATAGAAAGACCTAACCAGTGTGGGCATCACCATTCCCCCAGGAAGGGGGTTATGAGATGTAAGTGAATGTAGAAATGCATACAAATGCTGAAAGGAATGCATTAATTCATTGCTCCCTCTTCTGGACTGTGGATATTATGTGCCTATCTGCTTCAGGTTCTTGCCATCTTGACTTCTCCAGATTGATGAGTCTTGAGCAGGAAATGAGAGCCAAATACACCATTTCTCTAGTAACTGGCTTTTTAAAACCTGTATTTCATGCCATAAAACAGAAGAAAATTAAGACACATAGCATAAGCTGTATCCATTCATGTTTGTATTTACTTCTGTCTATATTAAAATATGTGGGTAAATATTAAACATGATTAATTTGAGTCCTTGGAATCAAGTTGGTCTATGTTTAAGATAGAAGTCTGCTATATTGTTTCTGTCATTTTTTGTTTATTGTGGGTTTTGTGTATGTCTGTTTGTTTATATTGGCCAGGGCTTTACAAGTCAAGTCAAACTTTTCTCCAAATTCATACATAGTTCACATTGGTTTCAGACATGAAGAAACCCTTCCTTAGACTACCAGAGTTAAGGTTATTTATGTACGTGACCACCATATATAATTTTTGTAAGGATTTTTATGGTGATGGCACTTACAATGTGTGTGTGTGTGTGTGTGTGTGTGTGTAAGATAGTTTCCCAAGGACTATTGCAAGTTACTGAAATGTTCTACCATTATTCTATACCCCTAAAATAGGAAGAGATTTTTCAGAGATTGGCTTTCAGAAACTCTGTACATGAGTTCCTTCATTATGCTCCCAAGTAGAAAATTTAAGAATGCATTTTAAGCTGGGACAAAGTGAAATCAGGTCTCTGAAGTCAACAGCCTACCAAGTCAGGAAGATTTAACGACTACAAACAAGGATCTAAAGTCATCTCCTCTTTTAACTGATCAAGAAGCAGCATTTAGAGGAAACATGGGTTTAGCTTTAAATAATCCATTTTTAGTATTACAGATTGCACTTGTAGCATGATTTCTAGACAGTACTTATTAAAGATGGTCTCTCCTGGAGTTAATGTGGGTTTATATGTAAATATTGCTTTAATTTCACAAAAGATAAAGAGATAAGGCCACATGTGGGCAGGAGTTCTTAAAGTACATTCCCCATTACTCAGTCAAATAGAGTAAATATATTGTTATAAATGAGGAGAGTAGATGTTACCTTGTGCCTGAGACCTGCTCTTAGATGAAGGCTCAAATTATCAGTCTAGCTTGGGTGCAGAAAAATGGCAGGTGTAGTTGAAGGTGAATGGAGAGAGTAAAGCTAAAGACGTCATCCAAACCAATATTTGGAAAGCATTTGGGGCAGTGTTTAAGAGTCTTTCTTAGCAATACTTTGGACAGTGGCATAAAGTGAGGTATTGTTGAAGTTGGAAGCCAGAATATCATCATTATATCCAGAGCTCTTTGGTAAAGTGCTAGAGGGAGACATTACTGGTTTAAATAGAAATCTGGCACAAGAAAATGTCCAGAGATCTACAAGGATAACTCAACTAACAATCTAAGCAATATGGAAGCAGAAGCAAACACCCACAGCTAAACACTGTACTGAACTCCTGGAATCCAGTTGCAGAGAGGGAGGAGTATTGAGCAAAAGGGTCAAGACCAGACTGGGGAAACCCACAGAAACAGCTGACCTGAACAAGGGGGAGCTCATGGACCCCAGACTGGTAGTTTGGACAACAACATAAGACTGTTCCAGAACCCCTGAACATGGATGTCAGTTTAGAGGTCTGCGAAATCTATGGAGTCTCTGGTAGTGGATCAATATTTATCCATAGTACACAAATGGACTTTGGGAGGTCACTCTGCATAGAGGATTACTCTCTCAGCCCTGTTCCAAATGATATGACAGACTTTGAAGATCCCCCATGGAAGGCCTCACTCTCCCTCGTGAGCCGTAAGGGGATATGATAAGGGATCAGTTCAAGGCAGGGGAGGAGGTAGAGGGAACTGAGATTGACATGTAAAACAAGCTTGTTTCCAATGTAAGTAAAAAAGAAAAAAACATAAAAGAACCCCCCAAAATAGCTATCATTCACTTTGACCTGATAACCCTAAACATATTCTTGTCTTGATTCCAAGAGTAGTCCATGAATGCATATTTTTTGCTGAGGGCAGTTTTTTTCTGATTTGAGAATTAGCCTCGTTGAATAGGCCTATATGCCTTCAACAACATTCTGGAGTTCAGCATGCACTTAAAGTTGTGATCCTATAGCTTCTGCCTATACCTAGATACTAGGATATACTTCTAAAATGAGAACTTAGAAGAAAATTAATACTAACTATTGAATTACTCCATGAGTTGCCTGATATCTAAAGGATTTGATGAGGTAATGGAATACAGGCACTTTCTCTAGATAAAAAACTCCAGTCACAGATTCAACTGAAAACAGTTTCAAAACCCTATCCCATTTTCCTGGGCTAGTCCTTCTTAAAACCATGAATTATTCAAAAGCTTCTTGTACATACTGATGCTCTCAGAGAGTTCATAATGGAGTTACAAGACTTTCCTAAGATGGTAAATGAGACAGCCCTGTGCATGTGAAGTAGAAGAGAAGAACCAGAAGTACTCAGAATACAATAACAAAGAGGTTGATGAGCTCTAAGCCAAAAAATTTGGAATTCAAAACCATGGCTTTCACAAGTAACACACAGCCCCAACTCAGTCTTCTTGAACCCTCATTTTCCTAGACCCCATTTCCTCCTTAATACCCCTACTCCTAGTGTACCCAGAAGACTGTAACTGTTTTTATTACTATTATTTATTTTTAAATTTAAATTTAAATTAGAAACAAGCTTGTTTCACAAGTCAGTTCCAGCTCCCTCTCTGTTTCCCTCCCCTCCTCCCATGCCCTCCTCCCCACCCCCCAATATCCTCTCATTTCCCCAGGGAGGGTAAGGCCCTCCATGGGGGTGTCCATAGTCTGTCGTTTCATCCAGAGCAGGGCCTAGAACCTCCCCCAAGAGTTCAGGGTGGGAGTGCAACTCTCATTGTTGGATGGGAGTCCAAAGTCCATTTGTATACCCAGGATAAATACTTGTCTACTACACAAGGCTCAATAGATTACCTAGGCCTCCACACTGATACCCACATTCAGGGGGTCTTGATCACTCCCATGCTGGATTCCCAGGCATCAGCTTGGGATTCAGGAGTTAACCCTTGTCAGGTCAGCTGTTTCTGGGGGATAAACAAGCCCAGTCTTAATTGCTTTGTTCATCAGTCCTCCCTCTCTGTTACTGGCTTTGTTGAGTTCACCTCAGTGCTTAGCCATGAGAGTCTGCCTCTTCTTCCATCAGCCACTGAATGAAGGTTCTGTTTCCCAGACTCTCTGGCCACAGGATTGTAGGCTGGCACTCCCCAGATCTATGTCTAAAATCCATATATGAGAGAGTACATGCCATGTTTCTCTTTTTGTGACTGGGTTACCTCACTCAGGATGGTTTCTTCTAGTGCCATCCATTTGCCTGCGAATCTCAGGATTCCATTGTTTTTTTCTGCTGATTAGTACTCCATTGTGTAAATGTACTACATTTTCTCTATCCACTCTTCAGATGAGGGGCATCTAGGTCGCTTCCAGGTTCCAGGAACATAACACTGGTAGCACAGACACTGAGATTGATAATTAAAAAATAGAACCTCCTGAAACTAAGAAGCTTCGGTAAGGCAAAGGACGCAGTCAACAAGACAAAAAGGCAGTCCACCTAATGGGAAAAGACATTCACTAACCCCACATCTGACAGAGGGCTGATCTCCAAAATTTACAAAGAACTCAAGAAGCAAGTCTCCAAAACACCAAAGGATCCAATTAAAAAGTGGAGTAAAGAACTAAATAGTGAATTCTTAATAGGGGAGTCTAAAATGGCTGAGAGACACTTGAGAAAGTGCTCAACATCCTTAGCCATCCGGGAAATGCAAATCAAAACAACTCTGAGATACCATCTTACTCCTGTCAGAATGGCTAAAATCAAAAACCCTGGAGACAATTTATGCTGGAGAGGATGTGGAGAGAGGGGAACACTTGTCCTCTGCTGGTAGGAGTGCCAGCTCATACACCCACTTTGGAAATAAGTATGGATATTCCTCAGGAAAATGGGAATCAGTCTACCACAAGACCCAGCAATTCCACTCTTATGCATATATCCAAAAGATGCAAATTCATACAGCAAGAAATCTGCTCCACTATGTTCATAGCAGCATTATTTGTAATAGCCAGAATAGCCTGGAAGCAACCTAGATGCCCCTCATCTGAAGAGTGTATAGAGAAAATGTGGTACATTTACACAGTGGAGTACTACTCGGCAGAAAAATAAACACTGGAATCTTGAAATTTGCAGGTAAATTGATGGCACTTGAAGAAACTATCCTGAGTGAGGTAACCCAGTCACAAAAACACAAACATGATATATGGATTTTAGGCATATATCAGGATAGTACCGGTCTGTACTTCCACTGACAGAGAGTTTGGGAAACAGGAAAGGACCTAGGAGAGATATGCATATTACCCCAGAGAAGAGGAATGACACAAGATCTTCTGAACAAATTTGGAGCACGGCGATGGGTGGCAGCAGGAGTGGGAGCTGCGAAGAAGAGAGGAGC